GATATCAACAATGCTTTCCTAAATGGGGATTTGGAGGAAACTGTATATATGCATAAGCAAGAGTGCTTTATTGACAAAACCAAGCCAAACTATATCTGCAAACTTGAAAAAGCTCTATATGGGCTTAGGCAAGCACCAAGGGCTTGGTACGACAAGTTAAAAAAACACTTTAATTGATTGGAAGTTCAACCAATCAAAGGCAGATACCTCCCTATTTTATTACTTAACTGAAAAGAATGTCATCTTCATTCTTATTTACGTGGATGATATAATAGTCATTGGCAACAACAATGACTTGCTTCAGAACTTCATATCAGAACTTCACAGAAAATTTGCACTCAAAGATATGGGAGAGCTTCAACACTTCTTAGGGATAGAAGTTCACAGATGCAGTACAGGACTTCATCTACCTTAATCAAGATATACTTTAGAGCTACTCAAGAAATTTGAACTTTAGAACCTCAAACCGTGTCCCACTCCCAATGCAGTTGGTAGAACCATGTACAAAACTGAAGGTGAACCTCTAACAAATCCTTCAATTTACAGAAGTGCTATTGGGGGCTGCAATACCTGTCACATACCAGACTAGACATAATCTTTGCTGTCAACAAATTAAGCCAATTCTTACAGGAACCAACCTCAGTGCACTGGCAGGAGTGAAAAAAGTTCTAAGATACTTGAAAGGCACAATCAACCAAGGTTTATGAATCAAAAGAAGCGAAAACTTGATGATAAGTGGCTACTCCGATGCTAACTGCGCATCATGTCCAGACGATAGAAGGTCTGTAGCTGCATACTGTATTTACTTAGGCAATAGCCTAGTGTCTTGGTCATCTAAAAAACAACAGGTCGTCGCCAGATCCAGCACAGAGGTAGAATACAGAGCTTTAGTTGCTGCTGCATCCGGAATAACCTGGATACAATCTCTATTTAGAGAACTTAATATGTTACAAACCTCAATTCCAATCATTTGGTGCGATAATTTAAGTGCTGGAGCATTGGCAGCCAATCCTGTTTTTCACGCCAGAACCAAGCATATAGAGCTGGACATACACTTCATAAGAGATAAAATCCTTGCCAAGGAATTGGAAGTGAAGTATGTTCCCACTGCAGATCAGATTGCTGACTTGATAACAAAAGGCGTTTCTCACTCAAGATTCGCATATTTGAAAGACAAGCTTGGAGTGTCAATAGTCCCCTCCAGCTTGAAGGAGGGTATTGGAACTCTCAGCTGAATCATCAGCTGACTCACCATCAACAAATCGGTTGCACCAGATTTCTGTTGGCTCCCTTTCTCACCAGCTGATGCAGGACCACCTGCCGTGATTTATGGTGTACCATTGATTCTTTATATCCACCCGTACAGCTCAGATTGTAGGCCTAGAACATTCCCTTTACTTGTACAAATATGAGCTGATTCCTACTTGTAAAATAAGTTGAAATTAATTCTTGAGTGATTGAAATATAAATTCTATTTCCAAATACTTTAACTCTCTCCATCGTTATTGTCATCTCCATCTCTACATGTTGAACATGCTAGATAAGGGATATGTGAACAAAATTAAGATGGCGTGAGGTAGTTGCAAAATAATTGATTTTTTTTAATGTCATGGTAAATGTTGAGATTGATCAAACTGGGTGGCAAAAGAGATTCATATTACTAGTTGCAAAAGAAATGATTTTTTTACCCTTTTAATCTGTTGGTAGATGTTGAGATTAATCAAATCGGTGGCAAAAAAGATTCACATTACTCAATGGTTTATAACAAGATAAGACTTTTGTGATTGAAAATTTAACATGCATATAGATTAGATAATAAGGAGTTGTAGAATCTATTTATAGTATTACCTTATGTGCAAGGGTAAAAAAAACATTGTGTATATTATGAATATATATATGACTGATTTGCAAACGAAGGTGCAAGACAAAGAGAGAACATATAGGAGATGAGAGCAATTGTAGGAAATGAAAGGAAAGTATTGAACAAAATGAGAGGAAACGCAGAAACAAGGGAAGTTGGTTGAAGAATTGGCCACATATAAATTCATTCTTTCATGTATATAAAGCCTCTGATTAGAGGAGACATTCCAAGCTCTGCTGGAAGAAGACATCTCCCTCTTCTTCTTGGCGGATTATTCTTAAGTAAAAATAAAAATAAAAATAAAAAACCGTGATTGCAGGCAGCAAAGTGTAAACCTAAGCCATGGGGAGGACGACCTTTGTGGCATTATTCATCTGCCTCTCAGCCGGGGCTTTAATGGTTCATGCTGAGGATCCCTATCATTTCTTTGAATGGAATGTCACCTATGGTACCATTGCCCCATTGGGTGTTCCCCAACAAGGCATCCTCATCAATGGCCAATTCCCAGGTCCTAAGATCAACTGCACTTCCAACAACAACATTGTTGTTAATGTCTTCAACCATCTTGATGAGCCATTCCTCCTTACCTGGAATGGTGTACAGCACAGGAAGAACTCCTGGCAAGATGGCACCCTCGGTACCATGTGCCCCATCTTGCCCGGCAAGAACTTCACCTATCATTTCCAAGTCAAGGACCAGATTGGAAGCTTCTACTACTTCCCCACCACAGGATTGCACAAGGCATCTGGTGCCATCGGTGGCCTTCAAGTCCACAGTCGAGATCTTATCCCGGTTCCATTTGACAATCCTGCAGATGAGTACTTTGTCCTCTTGGGTGATTGGTACAACAAGGGTCACAAGAGCTTGAAGAAGCTCTTGGATAGTGGACGCTCCATTGGCAGGCCCGATGGCATCCAAATCAATGGCAAGTCTGGAAAGGTTGGTGACAAGGCTGCTGAGCCCCTTTTTACCATGGAATCTGGCAAGACCTACAGATACAGAGTCTGCAATGTTGGAATGAGGACCTCCGTCAACTTTAGACTCCAAGGTCACACCTTGAAACTCGTCGAGATGGAGGGTTCTCACACCGTGCAAAATGTATATGATTCCTTGGATCTCCATGTTGGACAATGTCTCTCAGTCTTGGTTACTGCCAACCAAGCACCCAAGGACTACTACTTGGTGGTTTCCAGTAGATTTGCACAGCACCAACTCAACTCCGTTGCCATCATTCGCTATGTCAATGGAAACAGTCCAGCATCTCTTGAGCTCCCACCATCACCCCCTGACAATACTGAAGGCATTGCTTGGTCTATTAACCAGTTCCGCTCATTCAGGTGGAACTTGACAGCCAGTGCTGCTCGCCCCAACCCTCAAGGCTCTTACCACTATGGCCAGATCAACATTACCCGCACCATCAAACTCACAAATTCTCGATCCTACATCGATGGCAAACTTCGCTTTGGCCTCAATGGCGTCTCCCATGTGGACTCTAAGACTCCACTCAAGTTGGCAGAGTACTTTAAAGCATCTGACAAGGTATTCAAGTATGATCTAATGAAGGATGAGCCACCACAAGACAACACCAAAGTGATTTTGGCCCCCAACGTGCTCAATACCACCTTCAGGAATTTCGTGGAGATCATCTTCGAGAACCACGAGAGGACTATCCAGACATATCACCTCGATGGTTACTCTTTCTTTGCCGTGGCCATTGAGCCAGGAAGGTGGAGCCCTGAGAAGAGGATGAACTACAACCTCCTCGATGCAGTGAGCAGGCACAACATTCAAGTATACCCTAACTCATGGGCAGCAGTCATGACAACACTGGACAATGCTGGAATGTGGAGCTTGAGGTCGGAAATGTGGGAAAGAGTATACTTGGGACAGCAACTCTACTTCAGCGTTCTCTCCCCGGCCCGTTCCCTAAGAGATGAGTACAACCTTCCTGACAACGCACTGCTGTGCGGTATAGTCCCTGGTTTGCCATTGCCCCCTCTATACACTATTTGAACGTAATGTAATATGCTTAATAGTAGTACTTTACACCATAAAGCCTCTGTTGAACTATAATTCATTTGATTGAAGGGGAGAGGACTGTTGAGTTGTGTCGAGAATAACACCGTGCTAAATTAACGGTATGGAACAACAAAGCATGGCTGTTATATGCCCTTACTGTTTTTATTCGTCTTCTGAAATCACTTTCTCCACTAGAATTATGTGTTGCTTAATTAATTTTATCGTTCAGCACTTCAACTATACTTCTAATAACTATTTTAATTTGAATTGTTTTCATGTTGATCTTCCCACACTATAAACATTACTCAGAAAACATAGAGATGTTATCTATTTTATCTTCTCTGTATATATATATATATACACTCACAAAACCATCAGAACTTGGTAGTGTATGAATAGCCCATTAGAATTTCATATGTAGAATAATTAGTATGCAAGGGAAAATCGAAGGCTGGGGATGAACTCCTCGAGTAGAGGCAAAATGATCTTCTCAAATTTCTAACTTTTCAAACCCCCCTCCTCTTTCAATTGAGCTATTTGGGATTATTAGCGACATTTCAGCATATTCGTGCGACCTTAACAATTCATCTCAAGGCAGAGGGATGGGATTATTTAAGGCGTCAAGGGTACGCACGGGACTTTAACAAAAATCATGAAACAATATTTTTCATTGACAACCATAATTTGAAAACTCTTTTTTCTACGTACTCATTTTAAAATTACACATTCACACAACCCATATCTATCAATAAATTTTAATTTATTTTTCTCTCTCCTCTTACCATATATTCTCTCAAAAAAATAATATTACACATAAACCCAAAAATTCTCATTACTTTTAACCACACAATCTTCAAAAAATATTATTCCAAAATCAAATTTTTTTTTTCAAATAATGGAGCTTAAACAAGGGCAAAATATTCTGCATGTAAACCTCAACTTTTTTCCCAATAATCCTTCAAATAAAATTATTCCAAAATCAATTTTTT